TCTCCTCCTCATTATTATTATTATTTTTTTTTTTTTTGGTTGAGAAATATTAAAAAATGTTTGTTCAATGTCTTTTCAACGTAAATCAAGTTCGTTGTAAGGATATGTGATGATAGATGCTTTGAAAATTTTAAGTCCCACGTTAAGACGTATACCTAACAATTTTCAGGTTGCGCAGAAAAACTTTGTATAGGAGGTGCGAGAACGCACTTTTTACTTCGCCTCGCATTCTAAAACTTTAATCAGCCACTTCTAGCATTACTTAGTACATTGTGTATTGAAAAATAAAATCACCCCAGAGTATATAGGTATAGTCAAGTGCTCGTTTAACCGTGCAGTGCCCCACACTCGCGCTCCTGCATTTTCTCCATTGCCAACTCACATATACGCACACATATTCGCAGCCTGTACAAGGAGTAGAGGAGCACCATACCACTAATACTATGTATACTGCTGTATAGACCCGAGGAGGAGAAGGAATGCCAGAGAGAGCCTCGCGATTGTGCGCGCGATTATCTATTTATTTTATTAATCGATAAAAACCGCGAGGAGAGAGAGAGAACAGGTTCCGGCAGCAGCATCTGCGGTGGCTCGCGTTTTCTTCGCTCAAAGACCGTACGGAGCCATCAGGCATCTTCTTCTTCTTCTTCCCTTCTCTTTTTTCTGCCTCTTTTGCTGCAACACACACACACACTCACCTCCTCATCCTTCTCTCTCGCGTTTTTCTTTTTTGGCGGCAAGCCTTTTACTTATACCCATCCTTGAAGCGCTTCTTTTTATTTTTCTTCCTTTTACGCTCGTTGCTTTTCGCGTGCACTGTATGCTTCTGTCGTACACTAGTGAGATGCACTTCAAATTAGGGAAGATGCTGCGTCCAACGCTCAACGCGGAATGTCCACGTATGGGGAGAGAGAGAGAGATGCTCGCACGATATCGAATATTTGGTCGATAATTACATTTTTATAACATTGTAGTAAAAGGTCACATTTCTGGTTGTATGTAATTTTGTTGTTATTGTGATTGTTGCCTTTGTAAGTTCATACGATGACCCATAGCCTTGATATACATCAAAAATAATTATTTGCTTGCTAGAATTTTCTGTAGTTCCTTTAATAATTACTCGCGTATACACAGGCAAGTATCGATGATCTGTATTTGCGAATGAACTTCCAAACGACGACGAATAGTACGAGAGAACGGGTGAATAACAAATTACGAAAAATCAATTTCAATGACGCAGTAAAAAATTTATACAATATAGTATATATACGTTTAAATTTCGTCAGTCGCCCGTCTGTAGTAAAGATTGATATGTTGATGACAATGAAACAATGTGTCGTACTTATACATGTAGTCCGCGTGATGCATAAAAATGAGTGGGGCGAGCTCTGATTCTCACGGCCGTTCGATTTCCCTCGATCCGAGAGAAAGAGATGTACAAATATAATACCATAACTTAAAAACGCACTCACTCGCAAACATGCGTTTCCCATTTCCCATGAGCCAACCTGCATACATGTTATCGCCTACCAGCAGCCATCACAATCTCAACTTCACAGTCTCACGCGAAACTCATCATCGCATCGAGCAAAAGCGCATCGCACGCACGCATTTATCATCTCGAGCGTATATTGCGCGGTGCCTTGGGTACACATCGTGAACCTTGGAAGCTGCTATTTACTCTGTGGGTCTCGAAAAAATTAAACGAAAAGGAAAAGCCCGCGGGGCCGGCGTATCACGTGGGTATACGTACACGTGCTTTGTCTTTTTCGGGTGCCTGAAATGCTAATTCACTTCTCGAACACCTACATAACTGTATCTCATGAATAAATTATGTACTGTTTTTTTGGCTGCTATAAAAAATGTAGATTCAGAAATTTCATGCTGCAGTTGAGTACAAGCTTGATCCTATATACTTGTCAAAATACACTGTTAGATCAATGGTTTCGCACGTACTCAATCAAAAACGTTCAAAAATCGTAGCATGCATCGGATAAATCAACTCGATGAGCCGCAGCTTATCATTTTTCTAAGTAATTTTTACCCCATGATATTATTATGTAGATAAAACGATTCTTCAGCGATACGGTCATCCAGAAAACTTACACTCCATATTATATCCTTAGCTGCTGCCAAGAAGCGTACATCTTGATGAACGTGCCGAAACATGAAAGTGGGCAGTGAACAATCTCATAACGTGGGCATGGGCTTTGTTGTTAATCGGTTTTGTGTTTGCGATAAACCCTCAGTGGTTTAATATTGACCAACAATTACAACGTTTTATTTTGTTTTTTGTCCCACAATAGAAGATATACATCCTGTTTTTGTCCATCGTATCTTTTTTTTTTTTTTTTTTTTTTTACCATATCAATCAAAATAGTGAGTAGGAATCGTCTTAACACATTGGCCGAGCAAAAAAAATTGAGTCCTTTGCATCAGTAAAAATGAAGATTATTTTATTCGAACGTGGAATAAAAGTGAAAATCTACTTCCGTATACTGCATTATACAGACGGAGCTGTAAAAACAAGGGGCGAGTCTTGAAGTAAAAGCTGCGACGAGTGGCAAAAAGACAAAAAGAAGGGGAGATTAGAGAAAATCTTCCCCAAGAGACTCTCTCATCGCTTGCGTATATCTCACGTCGATCTCTATTGCATAGACAGACACGCGTTACTTTTAATCGGTAGTTTTTCCGTAGTTCAATCGTACACAGGTTGTTTTACTCCCTAGTCTCAAAGGAACGAGGATGAAACCATACGCCAATCACTTCGAACACTCTCTCTTTCCCTCGGCTCGATCAAATTGCAGCAAAGATAATTACATAAGCGCATACATTCGCAATGCAGGGCGATTTTATCAAAGCCCATATACGATCACTTAAGGCCGTTTGTTGAAAGTCATCAAAAAGAGTCATCCAACGGGTGGAATTTGCTGTAGTTGTCTCCTCCTCGCAACATAAGTGTACTCGTACATATATAGCCTTCAGATGTATTTAATACTAATTTGTTGGGACTCGTGAGCACATCCGACCGTCCGCACCGGTGGCCTATGCCTTCCTATTGGTTTTGGGTGCTTTTTCAAAGCTCGGTATCGCTCTCACGTGAAAACATATTGGTCGGGGACTAATTGAGAGAAAAAAAGGGAAGGAACACCCGAGTACATATTACAAAGGTAATAATTATTATTCAACCGTCTCTCCGGTCGTACGGATGATGGTCGTATGGACGTTACATCGGGTGATAATGAAGAAATACACATTCCTACATATAGCTCCCGCGAAATGATACAAATTCATGAATCCTCATCCACGGGCAGGTAAAGAGTTATACGTCGTTCGCCTGTACACCTATATATGTATACTTATGTTGCATACTCTCTTACACCTCTCGAGATCGATCCCTCGCGCCCGGGCTCCGCGCAAGGATAAATGGCGAAACGTCCT